TTATTTTTATTTTATCTCTATGAGTATATTGCCTGGATGTATGTAAGTTCACCCATGTCATGCAATACCCTCGGAGGTCAGAAGAGGGCATCGTATCCCCTGGCTACAGGTGGGTGTTAGTTACCACGTGGGTGCTGGGAATGGAACCTGGGTCCTCTGCAAGAGCAGCCAGTGCTCTTAACGGCTAAGCCATCTCTCCAGTCCCAAATAATATTTTATGACAAAGTTACATGAAGTTCAAATTTTGGTGGCTGTGAGTCAGCAATGGCTGCTCACACTGATGGCAGGGTTGAATGTGCTGGACAGTGACAGAATGAACCACAGGGCCTAAAATATTTACTGTTCAGACCTTTACAGAAAAGGTGTTCAGTCTTCTTTAACAAGCTAGTGTTTGCCAAACTGGGTTCCTGAGTGAGAGTCCACAGTCAGGCAAGTTTGGGAAATGTGAGCTGAATTATAATTGAGCAATCTGTTCCAAATGATGTTCTTGCCCCTCTAACACGCTTTTGGTCTCACACTGCTCCCCAGCACCAGAAGTGGCCAGTGAGTCCTTGACTTGCTTCAACCCTGGATCTGTTTCCAAGAGCCAGCTATTAACATTTTGGAATTCTCTAGAATTCAGTTTGGTAATCATCCCTGGAGGCACAGGGGGTCTCTGGAGGGTTTTCAGCAAGGGAACAATGTCAACAATGTCACCTGCTTTATTTCCTTCCAGACCTCCTATTATGACTGTGAGTATTTTCATGGGTTAAAGGGGTATGACCTCTGCTCATAACACCAGTGGCTGGGAGCTAGGCTTCTCCAGGCTCTGTGGGCAGTTGCAAAGGTCTTGGGCTGAAAGCCTGCGGCTCCCCTTCAATGCCCTAGAGGGCTGAGGATGGATTTAAGGGGAGCTAGACAGGGATAAGGCAAGGGTGGCAAAGGCAGTGGGAATGGAGGGAAAGGAGAGCACAGACTCCGTTCATCTCTAGGAAGCTGCAGAGAGCTTGGTGATGGAAAGCAGACCAGGGACAGGGAGAAGGTGATGTCTGCCCTGAGGCCTCTGGCTTGAATAATAATCCAGGAGGTGTCAGCTACAGGCTACTTCCAGCCTCAAACCCACTCAACCCTGAGCAGGGGAACTTCTGGCCTTATGGGGGGTGACCATACAATCTCTGCTCCCTTCCTTTTCTCAACCCATGAATTCTGAGACTGTCACCCCACCTAAGCCATGCCCCTGGGGTGTCAGGTACAAATGACTTCACACTCAGGGAAAGGCACACCCTAGGTCTCCAGGCATAACTGGTCTGGGGGCCTCAGTGACCCAACAAAGCACCTCTTCTAGACAATAGAGAGCCTCGGTAGCAAGAACAGAGCTCTAGGTAAAAGACAGGGATTCCCTGGCCAGGGAGTTGCATTATTTCTTTTCAAATTGATGTGTGCTTAAAAAAACTACAGCGACTTCATACTGACCATTGTTTTCTGAGTACAGACACAAGTCAGAAATATGGGTCCACTGCCAAAAAAAGTGGCTAGAGAACTGCAATAAAGACCAACTCAGTATAGTAGGAAGCTCTGACCTCACTGGTGGGGACTGAAGGTACTGTGCTCTACCAGAGCCAGGGCCACAGAGCAGGGAGGGAGCCGAGTCAAGGGGAAAGTACTGAGGATGCAGACGTAAGAAAACACACTTCTCTGTGGTTCCTTCACATCAACCTGAACCGGTGAGCAACAGCAGGGTTCAAATGTGAGCTATGGAGACTTATAGGCAAGCTCATTTGTAAGAAGTGAGCCTAAGCATCTCCTCTCATCTTGGCAAGTAAATTTCCTTTTTCAGTGACCAGTCTCTTCTGATATGGGGCCCCAGAGGTGAAATGTTTGTAAAATTCCTTAAGAAGACTATATTTTCAGGATCATTTCTATAATTTAGAAATGTTCCTCCGTTGAGTGTTGCATGCAGCTACAATTAAGAACTGTTGTTGAATGAAAACAAGAAACCATGTTGTCACTGCTTTGACTGAACCCTGCCTTGGCCTTTCACTGCAGGCAGAATCAAGTTAGGCCCACTGTCCACATTCCAAGGTCCTGCATGGCCCTTCAGCTACCCCACCTTCCCATGGTTAACCACCTTCTGCCATAGCCGGTTCTGTCTGCCTCCCCTGGGCTTACTCCCAGTGCAGGTAGATACTGACCACAGATTTGTTCATGATTGCCTCAGTCTCGTTAGACACATTTCAATTCATATGTCACCTCTCTAAGACACTTGAAAGAGCCCACTGAGCTAAAGAAGCCATGACTGCCAACAGTTGTTTGCTACTGCTGTCTCCTTTATCTTCTTTACAGCATTTGTCAGAACCCCAGTCATTGTTCTGTTATCCTCTCTCACCCTAATTACAGGTTCTTTGAGAGCAGGACTCTGCTGGTCTAGAATGGTGCCTGACACTTAAAAGATTCAGCAAAGATCAGACTTAAGTGACTGGATTAGAACAGAGACAAAGTGGGACCTCAAGCTGCCTGATGGATGACACACTTGGTTACAGCATCATAGTGTGATGATCCCTTGATTCTGCCTCTTCCTCTACATCCATGGGGAAATGCCTGCAGTGAGTTGAGGACATGTGACCTGCTGATCGTGTCCCAGGCTATGTGGGTACTACTGAGCTCCACTCACTCTTCCATGGAAGGAGACCTGGTGCCACCGCATCTGATTTTTCACTAGAAGTCCTTGAATTTGGATTCTTCTATGGGGTCTCACTACCTTTTAAATGTTGGCAACTAACTAAAATAAGAAGTTTGAAGGTCAAACAAATAGGATGCACAGCTTGTACTCCAAGATGGGATCCATCGTTAGACTGCCTCTGTGTCAAGATACACCAACCCCTCTTCATCCCTGCTGAGGAAGACCCAGTTCTATCAACCTCTGCTGAAGTAGTTTTTCTACAAATTTTGACCACATACAGTAAGAAATCAACTTTCAGTAGGACTCACAACTGAAGTCACTTGAAGAAATACCCTAATTGTGTGCAATGTACCTTAATATTGCCCCTTACTTATATTCCACTTCATTTTTTTAATGCTAGTATGATCCATCAAATTGCTTATTATCCCACTAATTGATCCATCTGTCCAGCTACGGAAACCATAGTGTGCCTGGATAGAGGTTGATCTGCCTGTGCCACTCCTTACAAGGTGACCTCTTCAATGTGTGTAGGCACATTGCCAGTGCTTGTGCGGCAGGAGCAAAACTCCCATTCAGGTTTTGCTCATGTATTCACAAGGGATCAGAAAGCTATTAAAGTCATAGCATATATTATGAAACTTGTAATTCTCATTCATTTCTTTAAAAAATTTTAAATATTTTGTGTGTGTGTGTGTGTGTGTGTGTGTGTGTACATGCACACACATGTACGTGCACTCAATGGGCCATGGCATATGTGTGGAAGTCAGAGAAAAACCACCATTTGGGTCTGAGGGATCAAACTTAGGTCATCAGACTTGGTAGGAGGCATCCCTACTTACTGAGCCATTCTGCAGGCCCAATTCTCATTAATGTGTAATGAAATGAACAATTAATGCCGGCTAAAATTTATTTCTTTCTGATATATGTGAACTATCCATTTGGAAACACTTAGTCTAATATTCTCTTCCTACTGAGTATTTTTTAAATGGAGATATTTAGATATTCTTTATAAATAACTGGAAAAAATATATAAACAATTTCCTGGCTAGTGTTTGTCCAATATTAACTAAGTCTTAGTTTATGTAAGAACCAACTGCGAGGAGGAAAAATCACATAAAAATAGCTTTTGCATGTAAATTCGATCAGCATGCCTGTCTCTGGGGTTTGAAGGATGCTACGGGGCCTTACACTGAGCAGAAGGAAGCGATCTGTCCTGCAGGAGACTCCCTTGGGAGGCAGCCCTGAATAAGCGTGCACGAGCACTGCTTATTTTTCTAATCTTCACAGGGTCCAGTGGGGGTTTAGGAAAGGAGAGGCAGGTATCCTCTGTGGTGGGAGATGCTGGAGCTTTGGGTTTCTGCAAAGAGATTTAAAACTGATCAGTATGAGTTTGAGAGTCTCAAATAAGACTCACTACCACTCTAGAGCCAGCCCCAGCCTCCCTGGGCCTTCCACTGTGGCCCCTGGTTCTGCTGCCTCATTGGCCCATCTTATTTAACATTACACATACATATGCATATAATTTTTAGTTTTGTCAATATATTCTATGAGCTGTTCTGCTACACTGTTTAGTATATTTAATTTTTTTTACAAAGCAAGTTACTTATATTGACAAATAGTTGTTATCTGTATAAGAGACTGTAAAAATAAATACAATGGGGGCTGAAGAGATGGCTCAGCGGTTAAGAGCACTGACTGCTCTTGCAAAGGATCCAGGTTCGATTCCCAGCACCCACATGGTGGCTACGAATCATCCTTAACTCCAGTTCCAGAGGACTCTGAAGCCCTCTTCTGACCTCCACAGCATTGCACAACACAAGTGAACTCACATACATGCAGGCAATACACTCATACACATAAAATAAAAAATTTTGGTCTTTTTGAGACAGGGTCTCCTTGTAGCCCCAGCTGTCCTGGAACTCACTATGTAGACCAGGTTGGCCTTGAACTCACAGGCATCCGCCTGCCTCTGCCTCCCGAGTGCTGGGATTAAAGGCGTGCACCACCACACCCAGCTAAAATAAAATATTTTTAAAAATAAATACAATGTATACAACATGCTTTTCAACTTTGCATGATCAATTTAGTTCAGAAAACATTTATTGGGCTATGTGTGGAGCTCATTTCTGTTCTCTAGCACTGGAAAGATTGAGGCAGGAAGATTTCAAATTTGAGACCAATCTGGGCTACACAGTCAGTTCCAGGCTGGCCTTGACTACAGAGAAAGACCCTGTCCAAAAAAAAAAAAAGAAAAAAAGAAAGGAAAGAAAGAAAGGAAAGAAAGAAAGAAGGAAGGAAGGAAGGAAGGAAGGAAGAAAGAAAGGAAGAGAAAACACTTTATGGGCACTTATATTTACCAAAACTGATGTGCACTGTTAGCACCGTCTGTATGCATCCTGAACTCCACAAAAGCATTTTGTAAGAGATATCTAAATTTTAGAATCATTCAGATTAAAGAATGACAAAATGTTTTCCTATCTCAAGAATTCTGTTGCAGACACTGTTTAGTAAAGGAACAGTTCTGGCAACATTCTAATCCTTTAAAGAATTTTTCCTTGACCTTAATTTATTGTGTGTGCATGTGTATTGTGTGTGTGTGCTTGTATGTGTGCATGGGATCATTTGCCCATGTAGGCATATGTGGAAGCCAGAGCTGATGTCGGGACACCTTCCTCAATTGCTTTTCCACATTACTTTTTTGAAACAGGGTCTCTTACCTAACTTGGTGCTCACCATTTTTGCTAGACTGGCTGGCCAGTCAGCTCCAGGGATCCGCCTTTCTCTGCTGACCTCCCCACCCCTCGATGACACCCAACGCTGAAGTTACAAGTGGGTGTTGCCATGCCTGACTTTTATGTGAGTGCTGGGGATCTGAATTCAAGTTCTTATACTTGTGCTGCAAGCATTTTACCCACTGAGTCATCTTCCCCAGCCCTTTATTTTTGTGTTTTCAGGTAAAATCTCACAAATTATCCTTTTATATTCATGATGACAGGCATGAGCCACCACACCTAGCTCTCCTTGAAGACTTTTAAAACTTGCTTTCCCTAGAGCTCTTTGGTGCTCACAGCTCCCTTTGGGTTAACCTCCATATGACTGTGGCTCCTATCCAATGCCAGAAGCTGCCCATGTCAATGTTACCTGGTTGCCCTGACATTCCTGCCTCCAACTTTAGCACCGCTGTTTGTCTAAGAAGGAACAGCCACTGAGTAGCAAGTGATTCTAAAGCTCTAAACAGAACACTCTCGTTAAGCTTCCAAGAGTCACTTCTACAAAGTGAAGACCTGCCCTGAATATGGATGGCCCCATCCCATAGGCTGGAGCCCAGATGGACCAAGAAGGGGAAAGCCAGCTAGGGCTGGTATTCTCCCTTCTCTGCCTCTTGTGAGAAATAAGTTAAGCGGCTTTGCTCCACCACACACTTACCACATGTTCTGCCTCCTCTGGGTCAGAAGCAACAGAACCCAGGGACCATGAACTGAAAGCTCCAAATCTGTGAGCCAAAATACATTCTTCTCTCTTAAGTTGTTTTGCTTGGGTGTTTTTCAATAGCTATCGATAACCAACTAACACAGCAGGGACCTTGAATCTCAAACCAGGATTAAGACCAGCAAGTCTGCCAAGTAATAATGCACATAAAATAAATGGTCTGTTTTACAGGTGCCTCAAGTGCTGTAAATGTTTTGGGGACTGAATAAAAGAGCTCATTAACAAGGAAAATGAAGCCTGGAATGCTAATTTCTCCCAAAGCAAGTAACCAAATTGTCTCTGGTGGGTGTGATAAAGTGCCTTAACTGCTCCTTGACAAAAGATATTCTTTTCCTAGTGCAAATTTAGTAATTGTTTATATAATGAAAATTTAGTTCCATTTTGATAGATTAAGTAGCCTGTGGATGGATGACCCTGGTTGATCCCAGAGAAAGCACCAGGACACAGATAAAACTCCATCAGAATAGCAAAGGAACACATGGGACAGATTCCCTTCCAGGCAGGGAAAATGTCTGCCCTGGGTCATAAGCTGGGGCCTTTTTAAGGGGGAGGCTTCTGGGAGGTGCAGAAAGCGGGAAGATATTTTTTTTTCTAAAGTTAGGTGGGGGGTGGGGGGTGGGGGGGAGAGCGGGACTGTTAAAACCCTGCCCTCTTTAGAGATCAAAGGGGAAGCCTGCTGTGTTGGCCAAACAGTGGAGAAAAGTCTGCTCCTCTTGACTTCAAAGACCAGGGTGCTTATCCACTGGGTTCCCTTTTCTCAGAGGCCCCGTTGGTGAGGGGCTATCTGAACCTTAACACATTTTACTACTGACCTTTATAAATTATTTATCTCATTTGAGCATGTGTCTTATGTAAAACATTCCTTCAGGAGAAAACTATGAAATGACTGCAATTTCCTTCCTTCCTTCCTTCCTTCCTTCCTTCCTTCCTTCCTTCCTTCCTTCCTTCCTTCTTTCTGTCTTTCCTGTCTTTCCTTCTTTCCTTTTTTTCTTTTTCTCTTTTGCATGTGTGCATGTGTGCTTGTGTACATGTATGTGTGCATGTGTACATGTATGTCTGTAAGTGTGTAAACATGTATTTGTGAGTGTGGAGAACATAGGTCTTCTTCACTTGCTTGTCACCTTATTTTTTGAGGTAGGGTCTCTCGCTGAACCCAGAGCTTGCTAATTTAGCGAGACTGCCTGACCAGCAAGCCCCAGGGATCCTCCTGTATCTACTTCACCAGCCCTGAGAATACTAGTAGTGGGGATTGAACTCAAGCCTTCATGCTTGTATGGCAAGCACTATACTAACTGGGCCATCTCCCCACTCCCTGTTCCCCTCGCTCTCTCTCGCTAATAGAACCCAGGGCCTATGAACACTAGGCAAGTACGCTACTACTGCGCTACCACACCCCAGCCCACCAATTCCTTCCATGCTGGGTTCTCCGAAATGTTCTTCTACTTTGTGCAGCAAAATGCCTCTTATGAAGAAAATCAATAAAAGGTTTTTCTTATGCATTTTGATAATTTAAAATATAAATGAGGGAGTATTGCAAATATGACTAAAACTCTGAGTGAGAGCTTTTCCTCCCCCAGGTTTTGTTTTATAGTACTAACTAGTGACGTCAATACAATCAAGTATACTGAGAATGCCAGATTTTAGGAAGTATTCTGGCTGATGACATGTTACGGTTCATTGAATTAGTACACAGACTATTTTCATTGAACAACAAAGTCAAAGAAGACACAATTCATAGAGTGTCTAAGAGATTCGCCCGGCTGTGATTCATCCCAGCCTCATGGCTCCTGACAAATTTTTGCCTTGACTCCTCAGATCTCTAGACAGAAGGTAGGGTCTTCTTTACTCTACATGAAGATTGGAAAGGAGGCCAGTGACATCCCACTTCAGAAAGTTGTTCATGATACAATTTGTAAAGCAACAAAACATGAATACATACATACAGAGAGAGAGAGAGAGAGAGAGAGAGAGAGAGAATCAGACTCTTGTCAGAAAGCAAATATTAAAAATTCTCCCAAGCCCCAGTATTTGAAATGTGGCATATCTACCCCTGTAATATACCCATGACTCTCCTGTTAGAGCATTTTTACTCCATTCTGTAATGTTACCACATATTTCAGAAAAGGTAAGAGAAAATATTCTGTTTGACATTGTGATGGCTAATCCTGGGTGTCAACTTGATTTGATCTGAGATTAACTGAAATGAAAGAGATCTTCCTGATTGGATCATCTAAAGCCGGAAGACACACCCTAAATGTGGGTGTTACCTTCTGATGGCAGCCAGTATAAAAGATCAAGGCAGAGGAGAACACGGGGCTTCTTGCGGCTTGCCTTCTCTCTCGCTGGTGAGTTCGTCAGACCTTCAGCACCGGATTGGGACTACTGAGACATCCAGCCTTGTGTACTGAGCGACTACAGATTCTCAGCCTCTCCAGTGTGGTGCAGCCATTGTTGGACTACTCGGACTCTATCCTGTGAGCTAAGCTGATAAATCTTTATACATATTCATTCTACTGGTTCTGTTTCTTTGGAGAACCCTGACTAATATACCCCTTAAATGTTACAAACCTTTCTACTGGTACAGACATGTTTACTGTACCTTTTCTTTCCCTGGATTGCCCCCACCCCAAGGCATATATGAGTCCTGAAGTCCCTTTCTTTTTAAAATATACCAAGTTTTGTTCTGCTTGCCCAATACTTAGAGCTTGGTCCTTGAAAAATACTGAAAACAGCTCAAAGAAATCTACACTGTTAGAAGTCAACATGGTAGCTGCCCTGGGGAGGCAGTGGCTGGGGTTCCTGACCCAGGCATGGTATGTATGTTTGTACTGGATGGATTATGGATGGATGGATGGATGGATGGATGGG